ACATCCTGACTCTCCAGAGGAAGAACCTCAGATTCCAAGAGTCCTAACCCTTAGTCACACGGTGGCAGGGACAACTCAGGTCTGGCGGCGAGTGGCCAGGTACCATCACAATGGTTATTTGTGATGATGAAGCTGAGCATTCATGTTTGGGTCTTTGAAATGGACAAGCTACTCATCTCACAGAATCTACACAGAGGTTCCAAGGAAGAAAGATCTGGTAATCTAGTCCCATAAAGAGCACAACTTGCACGAGACCTTTTTAAAGTGTTGAAGAGCAAAGATCTCAGCTTGAAGACTAAGTGTGCCTGACTCAAGCCATAGTTATTGTCAATAACCTCATATACATGTCAAAGCTGGACAGTGAATAAGGAAGACCGTACAAGAATTGATGCTTTTGAGTTATGGTGTTAGAGAAGAATATTGAAAGTGCCACGGGCTGCCAAAAGAACCAATAGATCTGCGTTGGAAGAAGTGCAGCTAGAGTGTTCCTTGGAGGCCAAGATGGCCTAACTTCGTCTCTCATACTTCGGACATATTGTCAGGAGGGACCAGTCACTGGAGAAGGATATCATGTTTGGTACGGTGGAGGGTCAGAGAAAAAGAGGAAGACCCCCAGGGAGATGGACTGGCAAAGTGGCAGCATCAATGGGCTCAAGCGTGGCAACAATTGTGAGGTTGGCCTAGGACCGGGCAGTGTTTCATTCTGTCGTTCACAGGGCTGCTATGAATCGCTACTGACTCGACTAGGACGTGGTTTGTTAGGGGAGCACCGTGGCTCTGGAGGATAAGCACCGGACTGTAAACCACAAGTTTGGCAGTTTGAGCCCATCAGCCACTTCACTGGAGAACAATGAGGCTTTCTCCTCCCATAAAGATTTACCGCCTCGGAAACCCTGTACAGGGTCGATACAAGTCAGAACCGACTTGGTAGGAGTCAGAACCAACTCGATATGAGTCAGAACTGACTCGATGGCACTGAACCACCAGAGCACGACATGGCTCTTTTCAAGAAGCCTTGGTTTAAAAGCTCAGCTGCTAAATGAAAGCTGTTCAAACCCAGTCAGCAGAGGCTCCTTGGGACAAAGGCCTGGTGATCTTTCCATACGGAGGACAGCCTAGAAAACCCTGTGGGAAGTTCTGTCACACTGAGTCACATGAGCCAAATGGAATCCACAGTACCTAGTCACAACTGAGTCGTTCCCTAACCTACAGCACTTTAATGGGTTAATGCAAGTCAAGTATGTAGTGTGGCCCCTGTCTCCTCTCTGAGCTCAGTCTAGCCACCTGTCAAATGACCAGAACCTGGCCTTCCGGAGCCACTGAGCAGGGAGCTTTGGACAACAGTCAGGAATTATTTTAGGAGACTAGGTGCCCTTCCCCCACCCTCTGCGGGAGGAAATGGCCCCATGATTCCTACGCCTCTTCAGGTGGCTCCTTCCAAAGCAGTGGCTGCCAGTGACCTCTTTAATGGGGGCAAGGGTGGTAGAGGAGGCAGACAAAACCATCTTTGTTTCAGTTCGGGTGGTGGTGGCTGGCACTGTCTCACCCAGAGCGTGGCCCTGCCTGGTGACCACCCTTCTCTGCAGACTAGTAGGACGGGGTAGGTGTAGGGGTGACGAGTTCCATTTCCCCACCCAGCTGAGACTTCTTTGCTTGTGCCCACACCACAGGCCTGGCACAGAGACAGTGGGCAATGCCAAGGGTGAATCCACAGGTTTTGCTCACAAATGGTCCTTGGTTCAAATGCTGCCTTTCCCACCTTTCTGCTCAGAACCAAATCCATACTTCTCAGACTTGCTCAATAAGGCTGGGCAGGACTTGAGGTCCCCTGGCCTCATCCCCTACTTTTGTATTGGAACACCCTCACTTCTGCCTGGCTGCCAGAGAACTCCTACTCACCTCTCAAGGCCAACTCAAAAGCCCTCAAACTTTTCTCAACGGGAACAAATAGCTCAGAGCTCCCATGGCTATCATCCTTTCATTCACAACAACAGGTTTTGTCAAGGTCACTACTAATGACCTCCATGTGGCCCAACTCAGGGGTCCCTTTGCTATCTCCATCTTGCAAGTCAGCTTGGTGGTTGTTCCTAGTTGATCCTAAGTCTTGTGGAAACACCTTCTCCTCTTAGCTGCTCTTCTGATAGTCCCTGGGGGTGCCCCATCCCTACCCATTCCTGACCTCTAGATTTCTAATCGGCCACCTCTCCCACACTCAAGGTGGCTCTGTCAGCTCCCTGCTCAACCGCCCACCAGCCTGCAGGTGTCTCAGTCATCTCCCTCATATTCTGGTACCCCTCCTGCTTCTCCCCTGCTCGCTAACCTTTCAAAGTTCAAAGTCTCAACATTCCATTGTCCATCCTTACTGCTCCTCCCTGCCCACCCCACCCTGTCCACCTCTAGCTGCAGCATCTGACAGGGTCAGCTCCCAGCTGGGACTTCCTGATGGCTTCCTCCATGGTGGGGAATAAAACCAATAAAATCTCGAGTCCAAACCATGACCTTCAAGGCTCTAACCTTCTAGGCCTTTGATCAGTCTTCTCCAACCACAGGCCTCCACTCTATTCCCCCAAATGCAGTCGTCACACTCAGGGCCTTTGCACTGGCTGTTCCTGCTGCCTGGAATGCCCCTCTCCAGACGTCTGCCTGCCAAATTCAACATCACCTTCTCACAGGCCTCTTCCTTCACCCTTTCCCCCACTTCCCTACCTATCCCCGTATCTTGATTTTGCTTCTAGTTTTATGTCACGTACATCTGTATTTTATTAACTGGGCACCTTTCCAGGCCTCTGCCCTTCCTGGTCCTCAGGGCCTGCCCGGGGCACCGGAACTTCTGAGGAGATCGCAATGACCAGGTGGAGGGAGGGCCCAGCAGGCTGGCTCAGCGCCCTCCCCGCCCGCGAGTTCACACACAAATCAGGGTGACTACTTAAATCGATTAGGGACTGTACAAACACCACTATCAGGGAATTGTCTGCTCCTATCAGCCCAGAGGCAAAGGTGTTGGATGGGAGCTGGCACCACATGTGTAGCTCAAAGACAGCTGTGCTGAACCAGGGGCTAGAGGCACAGGCCCCAGCCTAGGGTGACCTGCTCAGGATGCTCACCTTCCAGCTCACACAGTACACACCTGGCTGCCCAGGACACCTTGTCTTCCCACATTAACTGCAGGCCACAGCCTCGGGGTGGGGAGCTGTGATTTAGGAGCCAGGCAGGTCTGGACTGACAACCACAGACCTTCCGCTGCCTGGGTGAGGGCCACTGGGCAAGTCACCTGGCATTTTAGAGACCAAGTATTGGAACCTCCCCACTGGTTTGCCCTGAGGAATTACAAGTGTCCCACCATGGGACCTGCTGGATGCTCACAAAACTGCCACTGTTAAATTGATCAGTGAGGGTGAAGGTCCAAGCCTTGGTTAGTGTGGCCTGGACAACATCCCCTCCCCACCTGTATTCAGCCACTGACCCAAGCAACATCCAAGAGCCCCCTATTATGGGATCAACACTTACACATCCCACCTGCATCTCGCCCTCATGGGGCAGCCCTAGGAGGCAGGACCATCCATGAGCATCCTCGTTTTACTGAGAAGCAGACATAATAACATTCCTACTGGAGGCCACATGACCAGGAAGTAGGGGAGCTGAGAATTGAACCCACGGGCCTGTTCATAATCACCCCTAGAGGAGGCTTCAAGGTCAAACTTTCTTCCTGCCTTGGAAGGTGGTGTTCGGAGGCCCAGAGGCTGGAGGGGCAACTTCCGCTCACTGCGGGTCTGGGGATGGGGGCTTGGTCCCAGAGCAGTGGATGGCTTAGCCTCCCTCCCCTCCTGCCAGCTCAGGACTTCGAACCCACCCACAACATCCCAGACTCAATGGTGCAATGAGCTGGCTTAGCGAGCTAGAATGCGTTCAATGAGCTCATGGCTGGGGGAGGGACGCACACAGAGTTAGAAGAAGAAGAGTATCTTGTGGAAAGGAAGGAAATGGAGTCACCCAGTGCCTGGGAGTGGGGACTAAGAACGGTATCATCTGGCTTGAGGTCTGACTCTAGCTGGGCCGCTCCCTTCTCCTGTCTGAGCCTCGGCCCTCCTCCTTCTTCACAGCACTTTCCAGGTTGTAGATCAGAGAGAACTCACCATTGACAAACAGCCTGCCACTTAGTGCTGGGGCTACAACAACAAACTAGGGGGACAAAACCCCTCCCTCAGGGAGCTGACATTTGAGATGAGAGGGACATAAGAAACAAAGACGTACACTGTGTAACAGAGTGGGGTGAGGGGAGGGCTGCTGTTCTTAGAGGGGCCATAAGGGAGGCCTCCCTGTGGAGGTGACCTCGGAGTAGAGACCTGGGTGAGGGAAGGAACCATATATACACCTGCAGGAGGAGCATCCTGGGAACAGCATATGCAAAGGCCTTGAGGTGGGAGCATGCCCCCCAGCTTGCACTGGAAATACAGTAAGGAAGCCAGTGTGGTGGAAGCAGGCTGAGCCAGGGAGGGAGAGGGTCTGAGGGTCTGAGGGGCCAGGCTGCATAGGGCCAGGCAGGCCAAGCTGAGGAGCTGGTATTGGATTCTGAGATCAGCATGGGAGCCACATGACGTGCTCAGGTTCCAATAGGATCTCTCTGGAAGTGTAATCAGAACAGACAGTGGTAGGTGGAGGCTTGGAGGGCTGGCGGGGGCTGCTGGACCAGGGTGGGCAACAAAGGGGGCAAGAAGTGGTTGGATTCTGGATGCATTTGGAAAGTATGAGACAACAGGGTTTGCTGATGGACTGGATGTAGATTGTGAGACAGAGAGAAGGGACCTGAGGTTTATACCTGGGTTTGGGTCCAAGCAACAGGAAGGGTGAAGGCACCAGCAACTGAGATGGAGTAACCGGCGAGCGTGCGCGCACGCGCACACACACACACACACACACACACGTCTGAGCGGCACAGACACCACCTAAGTCCTTGGCCTCTTGGAGAATCCTAGGTGGGCTGAGGGGCCCTGGGCACTCACCCACACCAAGCATGACGAGGGGCGTGTGTTCCCAGCGGGCTAGCAGCAGGAGGTGGACGAAGTTGTGTACGATGAGGCTGAAGCACAGGACTACGCAGCACCACTCCTGGAAACGCTTGCCTGTGGGGAGACGTGATGAAAGGTAGCTGTGGGCTGGGCTGGAAGCTGGGGTCCAAGCTGGGCAGGGTGGGGGAAGGGGCTCTTCAAAATACCGTGGGTTTGTACTTCTGACCGAGTCTCATTCCCAACCCATCCCCTTTACAGACGATGCTACTGAGAAAGGAGCTCTGGTAGTGTAGTGGTTACGAATTGGGCTGTGAACTGCGAGGTCAGCAGTTCGAAACTACCAGCTGTTCCGCAGGAGAAAGATAAGGCTTTCTGCTCCCGTAAAAATTTACAGCCTCGGAAACCCTGTACAGGGTCATTATGAGTCAGAATCGACTCCAAGGCACACAACAACTAGAAGGGGAAGGGCCTGCTCAAGGTCATACCACATGACTGGATACAAAATCTGCATGGAGCCCGGCTAGTGCAAAGATTAAGAGCTTGGTTGTTAACCCAAAGGTTGGTGGTTCAAACCCAAGCAGTCCCTCTGTGGGAGAAAGGCCTGGGGATCTGCCCGTATAGACACTGAAGCCTGAAAATCCCGTGGGGCAGCTTTACTCTTTCACCCAGGGTCATGAGGAGTTGTGATTGATCCCACGGCATCCAACAACCAGCACCACCGTAAAATGAAAATGGGAGGCCTCTTGAATTACTCTCCTTAGCATGTGTCACATTATTAGTAATTCTAAAACAATCGTCCCCTGACCCAAACCCACTGCTGCAGACTTGATTCCAACTCAGACTGAGCCTACAGGACAGACTGCCCCCCCCCCGCCCCCCACGGTTTCCAAGGCTTTACGGAAGCAACAGACTGCATCTTTCTCCTGCAGAGTGGCTGGTGGATTTGAACTGCCAACTTTTTGGTTTGCAGTGGAGTGCTTTAACAACTGCGCCACCAGGACTCCTTAGGATAACTGTTCCTAGTGTGTGCTGTTGAGTCAGTTCTGAATCATAGCAACCCTGTGTAGGGTTTTCGAGAGGCCTGATGGGTTTGAACTTGGGGTTAACTAACAGCCCAGTGTTTCTCCTACAGGACCACACCTTAGGATAAGAGTGGAGCACTGCACCCAGCGTGGCTACTTCTGAGCACAGGGCTTCAGGACCCAGAAGCCGGTGCTACACCCACCAATGCTTTGGCAGACAGGACCAGAAGTCTGGTCTCTAGGGCCTCTTTGGGTTCTCCCTAGAGACCCTCGAGGGGACTTTAATGAGCTGCGGTCTTTGGCCTTTAGACCTTTCCTGGACAATTATATGGAGGTGGAAGCTCGAATCTAGAAGGCCCAGCCTGGCCCTCCCTGGAGCAGGGTTCCAGGCAGTGAGTCACGCATCTGTGAGGACACAGGCCTTGGACACCAATTCCAGGACTCCAGTCTGGAGCAGGAATGAAACATGGGAAAGAAGAGGGGGACTGAAGATCTCCAGTCTCGGGTGGGGTGAGTGGGTAAAATGGGGAGGTGGGCGGGGCAGGGGGCACCTTCTAAAGGAGTGGCCACTCTGCCTGACTGTTGCTAGGCTGGAGCGTGGGCCCAGGGAGGCGGGCTGTTTGGATTCTCATGTGAAGCCAGAAATCTGGATTTAGGCATCCAGTTTCCTATTCAAATGTTGACTCAGATTTTTCATAGGCACAGCGAGGGCGGAACAAGCTTATTCACTGCGGCTTTGTTTGAGGCATCAAAACACCTAGAAATGCTTTGAGCGTCCACTGACTGGGGATTCAGATAACTTAACATGGGCCCTGGTTAACTCTGGATGTTGGTCTATGTGTGGATGTTAAGGGGTTAGGTTCAGGTTGTCGGGGTGAGTAAAAACCCAAAGTGCAGAACATTGCATTTATGCCAAAAAGGAAAAAACAAAACAAAATCCCCAACAAATCAAAACAATCAAAGACTGACTTTTAGTTTACTCCCTTTTGAATTTGTGACTCTTCTACCATATTAAATTTTTCCTTTCAATTTTAAATTTAAAAACTTTCAAAACAAACAAAACACTGTGTGGGTGGCATGGATCCCTGGGAATGTCGGTTTTCCGGGTAGCTGGTCCCAAAGGCATGGAAGACCCTTTAATGGTAATCATTTTATTATTAGTGTTTAACATTTACTAGGAGTGCTGATGGCACTGGAGGCAAAGTACTGATCTGATAACCCTAAGATTGGCAGTTCAAACCCACCAGGCGCTCCAAGTGAGAACCATGAGCCTGACTGATCTTACACAGGGTTGCTACGAGTTGGAATCAACTCGGCACCAAGCAACCTAAGAAAAACACTGGTGTGCCAGGCATCCTGATGATGTGGTATCACCTCCATTTCACAGATGAGAAAACTTGAGGGTCAGAGTGGTCAAAAACAATTCAGTCAGCCACAGACCAGGATCCCATGGACAGCAAACTGGCTCCTGAGACCCAATTTCTGCTGCCCCAGGTCCCTGGACTCTACCTTCCCATTACCTGCATCACCTGACATTCTTGGGTTATGAGCCCAATCCCGCCTTAAGCAGTGTGGCTGGTCCAGGTGACTGGCTGATTAATGACTAACAGGACCAGGACAGAGCAGACAAGGTGTCTGTCCCTTTTTCTTCGGGGCCTCACAAGTGTTGTTCCCTCAGCCCACAGCCCCCTTCACCTTCTGCCATCTGGCTGGCTCTCAATGCCTCCCCTGCAGGTCTCAAGCCAGACACTGCCTCTTCCAGAAAGCCACCTACATCATCTCCTCCAACTCTGTGTCCCCAATGTGGGGTGTCCCACAGGACCACGTCTGGCTTGCTCACCAGACTCCCGATATACAGCTGATACTAAGTAAATGCTTCCAGAACAAACAAACAAATTCCCAACTTCAGTCCTGAGGAAAAAATACTACGTTTTGTCGCTGGGTATCCCTCATCAAAGTAGCTTGGGGTGGGGGTGGGGGGGGACATGATAGGTGCCTCACTTTTCCTAATGGGGAAATGTGGCTCAGAGAGAGTGGGCCTTGTCCAGGTGCTACAGCAACATGCTACAGAGGAGGCGGTCCCCTGACCTACCTGGAACCAGAACATTCACTAGCTGACCTCCCTGTCCAGTGAAAAGACCGAGGCTGTGGGTGGACATGGCCTGGTTCACATCCTCTTGGCCTCTCTGGTATACATGAGAACAGAACAGAGGCAGTTCTGTTTGCAGACCAGAGTGGGCAAGATCTTGACAGAGATCACACAGTGTCAGACTACATCCTAGTTAGGAGCTGTCTCCCCATGCCCCACAAGTCTTCCCCTTTCTGCTTCCTTCCTGTTGTGGCCAGGCCTTGAGCTCACAAGGGGGAAGCCTGGGGGAGGTGTCTGGTCCCCAGAAGTGGGGGGGCACTAGGTCCTAAAGAGTAGGTCAGTCTCCCAAGTGACCAGCCTGGCTACCCTTTGGGGACATGGCCCGAGATCACATCATAGTCTGAGTAACAAAAACTGACATCCGCTGAGGACAGGGCAGACCACATCTGAGAAGCTGCAAACTGGCCCTCTTAGACAAGGTTTGCTTCCAGTTTTTTTTTTTTAAATGAGCTATACTTTTTATCCTTGAGGGACAAACCATGTGCTCCCATTTTCCAGATGAGGAAACTGAAGTGAGGCTCAGGGGAGTAAGAGGCAGAGCTGGGTTTGGGACCTGGGCTCACAACTGGGACATGTTAGCCTGGGCACTCAGGTTGTCCTGATTCTCAAGAGGGCTCAGCTCTCCCCCATGCCACAGAGCATGCCCCCAAATTGAAATGTATTTCCATCTAAATGCCCTGGGTTTTTCAGACTAAGTGTGCTAACTTTGACCCGTTAAAAGGCACTGAGAAGGATAAGCATCATTCACCAACAAGACAGTGGCGAGGGTTATCTTGGTTATCATCACTGTCCCTTGTGGGCTGGGACCACTCGCCCCATCCTTCAGAAAGGAGAACTGGGCCTAGAGACAGTGACTTGTTCAAAATCATTTAGAGGGTCACCAAAGTCAGCCTGGCAGGGCTCATGGGGTCAGGTGGTTCAACTTTAGAGATGGGCAGACTGAGACCCAGGCTGCCCATTACCCAGGGTACTGAATCTGGAAGGAGTTACAGGCCTGGGGGATGTGACTGGGAGGATTGGGGGTGGGGGGCGTGCACAATTAGGCACCTGTCCTCTGCCATCTCAGCTTTCCAGGGGTAGGCCATCAGGCCCGACTCACACCCCAAGTTCCTGGTTCATCTGAGCCAAGCCCCAAGTAACCTGCATGTGTTAGCCCTCGGGCATGGGAGACCCTGAGTCTGAGGGAGACTGGGGGCCGGGGGACACAGTGGAGACACAGTGAGAGACAGGGAGACAGAGAGGAATGACAAAGAGCATGACCAGAGTGAGGCGAGACAAGAGACGGAAACACACCAAGGTTGAGGGAGGTGGAGAAAAAGCTCAGCCTTGAGTGTGGCCGGGATCAGGTCTGGTCAGGGAGGGACCCACAGCCAGACTTCTGTCCACTGGCTCAAGCCACGAACCTCAAGCTCAGCTTTAGGAATCTAGGCCGGCACTCCTGATACCCCCCCTTGTCTTTCCCCTCCCTCTAGTGAGTTCCTGACTCCGGTGACCCTCAAGCTCTATTGCTGGTACCCAGGGCACCACGAGAGTGTCGCATACATAGCTAGTTTGGTTGGATACCTACCTAGGGAGGCGTGCAACCTGCCGGGGCCTAGCATGGGGATGGGCTGCTGCTGAGAGTCCGCAGTTGGAGCAGACCACGGTTCCCAGGATCCAAGAACCGGGGGCTCCTGCACCTCACCCCTCGTTCACAGCTCCCTGTGGGTACCAGGCTGACCTGAGATACAAGTCCGTCTCCCATACACTGCCCCTGGCTGGTTTGAACCGGTTCAGTCAGAGCTGACCAAGTGAAACTAGAACAGATCCAAATTTTTAAAAATTGGCTGAAGCGGAGCAGTGACCAGAATAGGCCAAATTACTGGTCGAAACCCTGGAACAGGTGACTAGGAAGAGGTGTGGTGAGCCCTTTCAGGAGCTTGATCGGGAGATTAGATTACTGTTCCTACTGAAGAGCAACACACACTCAAGGTGGAGCAGTGGCCTGCCATCTTTGAACTGGGCACTGGTGTCTCCAACTCTGTCCATCAAAGAGATTTGGATGCTATGCAGTTCCCATGCTGCCCTTGTTTTCAGAGGGAGATTCAGTTTTTAGCAGGCCTTTGGCCTGTAATTTTTCCAGTTCTGGTCAGTATCTCGGTTCACCCACATTTTAAAAACCTGAACCTGTTCTGGAGTTGCTTAGTTGACGATGACCGAACTGGGTTGAACTAGTTCTATGCCCTGATTGACAACACGACCTGGAACCACCACCTCCTCCCACCTGTGTTTTGGTTCTAGCCACTGGTGACCAGCTGTTGTGGCCTTGGATAGGTCACTGCTCTTCTCAAGGCCCCACGAAATGTCTTACCAGAGTCAGACTGGGTGCTAATGACCAAACAGGCAGCTCCTGGCCTTGCTGACTTCCTGTCAAGTGGGCAGTGACATAAAACAGATGCTGGGGCAGGAGTCAAGACGAACATGTGTGGGCGGTTCTAGGAGAGGGCTCAGTTTCTTCCTCAATAAAATGGGCTCAATACCAGGATACACTCAGAAAATGGTTTGTTGCTGGTTCGGACTCACACGTGAACAGAACTGCTCAAAAGGTTTGCATGGAAAAAACCTTGGAAGCAGATCTTCTGGCTTTTCTTCTGAGATGCCTCTGGCTGGGTTTAACCCACCAACCTTTAGGCTAGTAGTAGAGTGCTTATCCGTGGGTGCCACCCAGGGACTCTTAAGAAAGCTGTGTTGTTGTTGTTGTTACGTGCTGTTGAGTTGGTTCCAACTCCTAGAGACCCAGTATAGGGTTTCCAAGGAGGGAGCAGCTGGTGAGTTTGAACTGTTGACCTTGTGGTTTGCAGTCCAATGATTTTCCTATAGTGCCATACCAGGAGTCTAAGAAAGCTATGTACGGGGGTATGCCCAGTACACAGTCAGCACTAAAAAATGTCAACTATGTGTCATTATTATTGCTGCCAAATGTCACGGTGCCAAACCACCTCTGACTCCAGAAATCTCAAGAATCCAGCCCTGGGCCTCAGGAACTTCCTTTCCTATGTCCCTTATTCCACAGGCCTCTGCGGTGTCCTCTAACACAGTAGGCATGGTCCTACCACAGGGCTTTTGCACTTGCTGTTCTCTTTGTTTGAGCAATACTTCCTAAACTATCCTCATGGCTCCTTCCCTGTCTCCCTTCAGCTTTCTATTCAAATGTTACCTCTGCAGTGAGGCTCACTCTTTCCCTTCTGTAAAGCATCACCTCCCCTTCTCCAGCAGTATACCTGCTCCATAGCACCTCCCACCATTTGGCCTGTGAGACAGCTGACTTAATTATAGGGCTCCTTGTCTGTCTTCCTATTATAATGCAGTTCCATTTGGTCACCACTTGGTTCCCTGTGCCTGGGACAGAGACTGGAGCATGGTCCTTCATTTTACAGACCAGAGAGATCAAAGTACAGCGAGGGGTTAGGGACAGAGGCAGACAGAGTGAGGCCTATGGAAAGGAATTTGGAGAAACCTGTTAGGTCAGTGCCTACTGATTTTGTTAACTTGCTGGGAGGATGAGAGGATAAGGCCTTCACGACAGGTTTGAGGCAATAGTGGGTGCTTGCAGCCTTGGAACGTCTACCTGGCTGCTCTTCAGAGAGCCAGAGGCACTTGGGGGAGCCAGTAGCAGACACAAGATGTAAGCAGGGCAGGGGGTGGAGATGGTGACCCCTCTGGGAGGCTGGGAATGGGAACTGCTTGGTTATGATTTGTACTGGTTAAAAGCAGGTGGTGTTGACCATGATAGACAAAGCTGGGCACCCAAGAAAGAGGCCTTTGAATCCTCCTCCTCTATTCCCAGGTGGAAGTCTGAGGGCCAGAGAAGAGAAGCTTCTGATGCAGGGAGCTTGCTTTGAGCCCCACAGTCAAGGTTAAACTATTAACAACAGGGAGCACCTACTGTATGCCACCACTAACAACAGTAAGAAGTCAGGAAACTTTACCTGTGCTCATTTTCCAGGTGAGGAAACTGGGGCTCAGCGAGGGGAAGTGGCTTGGCCCAGGGCACATAGCTAAGTCTGATTAATAAGCGAACCCCAGCCTGTCCCAGGACAAAAGGAGGGTTTAAGCCCATGGGCTGGCTGCTGCTTTTTAAACAGGCAGAAGAAACAGTGGCTGTCTGCGGCAAGTGCCCAAATCAGGTTTGCGAAAGCATACACGGTGCATAGAATTGCAAGGTCAGGAAGGTGACTGGTGAGCAAGAGGCCCTTAGACAGATTCCAAGAGAAAGCAGAGTCTAAGGTCGTGTAACCAATATGGCTCTCAAACCCAGGCTGGTCCAGGCCAGAAGCCTCTGGAAAGAGCTGTGTAGTATGGCTGCCAGGCAGCAGACGGAAAGATGTCAGAATGTTGGGCAAACAAAGCTTTGTGTGATGGCTGACACCCAGGCAAAGGGGCCTCCCGTGGTTCCCTGTCACCTGACTCTGGCGTTCTAAAAGGCACTTCCTTAACCCCTGGGGATACCCAGTCTGCTGGGACCAGGCACAGATATTGCTAGAGCTTCAGTGGGAGTCAAGCCAGGGTGAAGGGGCTGATGCAGTGAGCATGAATCGTGGGCGGAGTGGAAAGAAGTAAGAGCCTTGGCCTAGGGGAAAAGGACTGAGCTGGGTGCAAAGGTCTCCAAATCCAATCTGGTCTGGGGAATCACAGTGAGGGGTTTCACCTCCCCAAGTCATGATTGTTGTTGTTAAGTGCCATGGAGTCGGAATGGAGTCAGTTCCGACTCAAGTTGTGATTGTTGTTGTTAAGTGCCATGGAGTCGGAATGGAGTCAGTTCCGACTCAAGTCGTGATTGAAGGGGCTGATATTTGCACAAGGGGGAGAAGGGGTAAGGGCTGGGGTTGTGGCTTGTATATGGAGGAGTAACCTGGGGGGACGGTAGTTCTCCCACATGCAGGGGATTCCTGGACAATGGGTGAGGGTCCATGGTTCCCCCTGTGGTTTAGGAGTGGATTAAGAAGAAGACCAGTAGCCATTTGTAGCTTCCATCTGAGGCTGTAACTAGAATGAAAGCTTTAGGGGAAGGGCTCTAGGAATCATTGCTACCGGAGGCTCCTGAGTTGGGGTTTTCTAGAGCTAAGGGACAGCATTCTCAGATTTAGGGGTGTGAAGTCACTGTTTGTAGCTCAGGGGCCTGGCTGGGGTACGTTGCTAGGGTGTGGATACTGGATCTGGGGAATCCGGGAGGGGTGTGACTTTTAATGGGACCAGGGGGAATGCTTGTAGTTGGGAGGCTGCCTCCAGCTGTGACTGGGCCTTGAGGTGGGGTCCCTAAAACTGGAAGCAATCTTTGCAGCTGGGATGCATCAAGGTTAGGAACCCGAATATGGAGGTGCAAGGTAGATCTGGTTGTCCTCGGGCTGCTCGGATGGTAGTTCCTAGATCGAGGAACACTCTTTGCAATCAGGGAGCCCCGAGGCTAGGGTTCTGCCTTGGGTTTGGATGGGGCTTTGCGTGAGGTCCACAACATAGGGGCGCTATTTGCAAGTTAGAAATGAGGGCTGGAGTTCCACATCTGGGCCCTAGGCTGGGATTACGATCTGGGGACCCGGGGTAGCTGCCTGCAGTGCATGCTGGTGACGGCAGGCCCAGAAGGGAGCACGGAGGTCCTACCTGGCGAGTAAAGCGCGGCCAGCTCCCGGGCCCCGGCGTGTTGCGCGCCCCAACGCCGGCAAGCCGACGCTTCGTCCTCGTCGAGCTCCGGCTGCTGGCCCGGCCCGTCCTCAGTGCCCGCCATAGCCACTCGCCTAGCCCGCCTGGTGCGCTCTGCTGGTGGCGGCGGCGGCGGTGGCGGCGGCGGCAGGGCCGCGGAACCGCGGCGAGATCACGCCGCCCAATGATCGCCCAGCGCCGGGCGCGGCGGTGGCGCCGGCGGGGGCCTCGCCCGGCTGCGCGTCACAGCCAATCAGGGTCCGCGCCGCGGAGGCGTCGGCCAATCGGCGGCCTCCGAGCCACAGCCAACCGCGGCGCGCAGGAGGCTGAGCCGCAGCTGGCCGCAGCTGGGTGCGGAAGCCCTGGCAGTCTGCAAGTCCCCATCAGCCCGGCTCCGCCCAGGTCGGGGCCCGAACCGGCAGAAACCTCCTTCGCATCGCCGCCTAGTTCAGACATCGATTTACTACCTTGTGCAGTGGGTGAGGCTGTGCGCCACCGGGCCCAGAAACCAGCATTTCGTCAGCACGCACAGTTAAGCGCCTACTGTGTGCAGAGACGCGAGTGGAAGGCTGCGGGTAGGGCCACGGAGCGCGCGCCTGGTGAACGCTTACACAGTGCCCCGAACTGGGGCGGATTTACATTCGGCCAATTTATTATCTCCTCCTGTGTGCTGGTGTGGACTGCTAATTGCAGGGTTGGTGGTTCAAGTCCACCACTCCTCGGAAATCCTATCTAGGTTTGCAATGGGTCGGAACCGATTCGATGGCACTTAACGACGAACGACTGTGTGCTGGGGTTCCTAGGAAGGCGGATTCGTGTCCTACACGCCAGCTTCATGCTGTGCTTCACGGCCTCCTAAGGAAGAGGGACAATAAATGATGAAAATAGCCAGCAGAGCTGCTGTAAGATTTTTTTGAGCGTTCAGTGATCTGTCAGGCATAGGGCTGAGAGCTAGATGAGCAGCACGTGATTTACTTTTAATGCCCCTTAATACTGCCTCCTCCCGTGCCTCCTGACCACCCCTCTCAAAGTGGCTCCTTCCTCCCATCTCTGTGACATCACCCTATTTTGTCCTCATAGCGCTTGTATCCGGCAATGAGCTCGTAGGTTCATGTCTCCACCAGGAAATGAGCTTCCGAGGTCAGGAACTTGCTATATTTGCAGCAGAACCCCCACGTTCTCATCCATGTCTAGCTCATGTTGTTGTTACCCCCTACCTCTTAAGTGAAGAGTTCAGGTGTGGTGCTGTAGAATAAGCACTGGACCACAAAATCGTAGGTTCAAACCCACCAGCTGCACCTTGGAAACAACAGTTGTTGTTAAGTTGAGGTCAATTCAACTTAACATAGGGACCCTGTATAGGGTTTCCGAGGACTGGTGAGTTTGAACCACCGACCTTGCGGTCCAGTGCTTATCCTGCAGTGCCACACCAGGACCTTTAGCTGACTACAAAGTACACCATAATTGTCCACCTAAATTCCATACAGTGTGATCAAGTGAGAATTACTCAGACACTGAGAAGGACCCAAGAGGTGCTTGAGGGAGTAGACCCCCTCCAGAATTTCTGCCCTGTTTCTCAGTGGTTTTAAAGTTCTGGATTCTTCAACAGCTAGGCCAAGCTAATCACCTCAAGAGCTGTTTCCTGAGTGTTCTTACTCTGAGTAGTCACTGTCATCAGCCTGGCCCATATTCCCTCTCTGCTGCTTTCTCACATTTTCCAGGAAAGTCCTCCAAATGGTGGGGAGTAGCAGGGTAGCTGGCTTGCTTTGTGTCATTTATTAACTACGTGGTTGGATTTTCACCCCAGAAGCTTATGTGCTTGCCTTGGTCAGGGCAGAATTTCAAGGGGCTGGAGATCCCTTCAGAGGCCAGACCACCTTGGAGAATGTTTTCATTTATTCTTTCATTCAACACATGTTTATTAAGCACCAACCTGGCCCAGGCACTATTTTAGGGAAACAGCAGGGAGCTCTCCCAGGAGGTGGGGTTCGGGGTCAGGGAAGGCCTGCTCAAGAAATGACATTTGACCTGAAGCAGTAAAGGAACTAGAGGTAGAAATATCCAGGAACAAATCATTCCAAACAAAGGGATCTGCATGTGCAAGGGTCCTGAGGCAGGAACATACTTACCCTGTCTCAGAAATGACCTGGTCAGTGTGTTGAAGCTAGTTGAGAGAAGTCAGAGGAAGGGAGGGAGGCAGATTGGATGTGGTTGTTAGATGCTGGCTGAGCCAGTTCCAACTCATAGTGACTCGATGCACGATAGAATGAAACACCACCTGGTCCTATACCATCCTCACAGTTGTTATGTTTGTGTCCATTGTTGCTGCCACTGTGCCAGTCCATCTTGAAGTAAGTCTTCCCCTTTTTTACTGGCCCTCCATTTTACCAAGCATGATGTCCTTCTCTAGGGGTTGATCCCTCCTGAAAAGATGTCCAAAGAATGAGAACTAAAGTCTCACCATCCTAGCTTATAAGGAGCATCTGGCTGTACTTCTTACAAGACAGATTTGTTCTTCTGACAGCTCATGGTATTTCAGTACTCTTCTCTAACATTATAATTCAAATGCATCTCTTCTTTTACTGCCTTCTTTGTTCAATGTCCAACTTTCACATGTATATGAGATGATTCAAAATGGCTTGGGTCAGGTGACCCATGGCTTGGGTCAGGTGTACCTTAGTCCTCAAACTGATTTCCTTGTTCCTGAACACTTGAAAGAGGTCTTGTGCAGTAGAATTGCCTAATGCAATACATCATTTGATGTCTTAACTGTTGCTTCCATGAGTATTGATTTTGGATCCAAGCAAAATGAAATCTTGGAAAACTGACAACCCATAAAATCCACCCTCGTAAATTGTACAATTCAGTGTTTTAAAATATATTCACTAGGTTGTGCATTCATCACCACCATCTAATTCTATAAATTTTTCATCATCCTGAAAAGATGCCCTGTGCCCATTAGCAGTCACTCTCCACTTCTCTCCTCCCCCCAGCCCCTGGTACCCATTGATTTACTTTATATCTATCTCTATGGTTTGCTGCTTCTGGACATTTCATAAGAAGTCTTAGTGATGTAGTGATTAAACATGCAGCTGCCATCCAGAAGGTCAGAGAGTCGAACCTACCATCCATTCTGTGGGAGAAAGGCTTGTCAGTCAGCTTCAGTAAAGATTTACAGCCTTGGAAACTCTATGGGCAGTTCTAGTCAGTCCTATGGGGTCACTATGAGTTGGAATTGACCCCATAGCAGTGGGTTTGACCTTAGTTTTTAGACATTTCATAAAAATGCAGCCATAAGATGAGGATAAGTCAACATGTGTTACTATAAAACAATAGAAATCTTTATTTATTAAACAAAAATATCAATAAAGCTATTGTTTCTCAGCATATCATTCATCTAGAGCTATACACTTCCAAAGAGTGTGTTTCCATCTCTCTAACCTTTCCCTGGAGAGTTCTGAACTCTTGGTTTATACCATGTCAAACAGCAGCTTGGGCATCCTTAAGGGACTCAAATTATGTTTCTTTTAATTATGTTCTTTGAGTTTTTAGAACAAAAAGAAGCCTCAAGGGAAAGAGCAGGGATGTAGGGTGGATGGGGTAAGGTTACCCAACTAAATTCTTATAGGGGAGCCTTTGCTGCCTGGCCAACTGATTGGAAGACATCTATATTTGTGTCCATTCCAAAGAGAGATAAGTCAATGGAATGTGGAAATCATCAGATAGTATCATTAATATCACATGTAAGTAGAAGCTAATTGTAAATGTTGTTAAGTGCCGTCGAGTTGGTTCCGACCCATAGCTACCCTGTACAGGGTTTCCGAGGGTGTAAATCCTTACGGGAGTAGAAAGCCTCATCTTTCTCCCGCGGAGCGGCTGGTAGTTTCTAACCGCTGACCTTAAGGTTCGCAGCCCGATTCGTAACCACTACGCTACCAGAGCTATAATTGTAAATAGAATTCAAAAATGACTACTACAGTACATCAGTAGGGAACTGCCAGAGGTTCAAACCAGATTCAGACAAGGACATGGAACTAGAGATACCATTGCTGATGTTAGATGTGTCTTGCTTGAAAGCAGAGAATACCAAAAAGCTGTTTACCTGTGCATTATTGATTATGCAAAAGCTTTGACTATGTTGGTCATAACAAGCTAGGTGTGATATTGTGAAAAATGGATATTCCATAACACTTAATTGTGCCTATGAGGAACCTGTACATAGATCAACAATAGAGCAAGGGGATACAGAATGGTTTTAAATCAGGAAAGGTGTACACCAAGGTTGTATTTTTTCACTATACTTAATCTGTATGCTGAGCAGATAATCTAAGAAACTGGATTATATGAAGAAGAACGTGGCATCATGATTGGAAGATGCGATACGCAGATGATACAACCTTTCTTGCTGAAAGAGAAGAGGACTTAAAATACTTAATGATGAAGATCAAAGACCACAGCCTTCAGTATGGTTTGCACTTCAATGTAAACAAGCAAAAATCCTCACAACTAGACCAAAACTGGTAGTTTTGAACTGCTGACCTTAAGGTTCACAGCCCGACTCGTAACCACTATGCTACCAGAGTTCCTTATTGTGTGTATGTACCAAAAATCATTTACCCATTCTTCTGTTGATAGGAATTTAGGCTGTCTCCATCTTTTTGAATGAGCTCTGGTAGCATAGTGGTTACAAGTTTAGCTGCTAACCTCATGGTCAGCAGTTCGAAGCTATCAGCTGTTCTGAGGAAGAAACATGAGGTGTTCTGCTATGGTAAAGATTTACAGCCTCGGAAACCCTGTGCAGGGTTGCTGTGAGTCGGAACCAATTCCATGGCATACCACCACCACTATCTTTTTATTTTTAAGTTTTTATTGTGAGTTGAGTGATAGTTTATATGGGAGAACATCTGTTTTACAGTCATCCTATCATATTTCATTTCATTTCAATGATTACAGTCCCCTTCATGCATCATCATTTAACAGTGTTTCCTTCTATTCCCTCTGTTTTTTGTTTTTGGGTTTGCACCAAAACACTCAGGAATATACAATCATTCAAACAACCAAAGGGCACACTCTACAAGCCTGGCT